TTTTTTTATAAGAAATTGATTTACATTCAAAAAAAGGAAAGGATATTAAATATGATACGGCCGTTTTTACTGTTGTAGCTTGATTTTGGTAAGACATTACCATATTTGAATCGAAAAGAATCTGCTATATGTATAAATATCTTACTGCCTTACTTGTTAATCATTATCTGATGCCAATCTTCCGTGATATCTCTTTAAAAGTGTGCTAGTAATGAAAATCTCTCTTTCTTTTAACTAATTTGGCACCTCTAAACTAGGTATTCAACCAAGTGCATCATTCAGTTTTGTTAGAGCATGTGTACCAACAGATAAATACATACATAAAATACCTAATTTGACGGAGAGACTATGGATTCACGTATCCATAAATTACCCTATAAATACGCCCAAGTTTAAAGGAACGAGACCAGAAGTTGTGATAAAATAGCACAGCCAAATAAAAAAAATACAAGAGTAGTTATTCTCTACTAAGACAAACCAGAAAGTCTCGAGCCTTTTTAAAAGATTGGACAACTATAGAGCTAAGCAAAGACAATGCTATTATTAAGACTTGTTTAACACACGAGCTGAGAAAATCAACAGTGATTTTCAAGAACCAAAAAATGATTTAAGCTTAAGTAGAGTTTGAATGGTTGCCAATATCGAGCACGAATCGATACTTCACATCAGACTTCAGTAGGCGATCGACAGCAGTGTTCACATAGTCCATTGGCACGACTTCAACATCTGGTGTTATATTATGCTTTGACGCAAAATCTAACATTTCCTGAGTTTCTTTTATTCCTCCTATAGCACTCCCAGCCACTAGCTTCCTTCCTGTTTTCCACATTATGTACGTCAGTATGAAGTTTAATAGTAGTTTAAATTATATACACCGTTATTGTAAGAAAGGAAAAAAAGGAAAAGAAAAAGCGATGTGCTTACCCAAAAGCAAGGGAAAAACTGGCAGTTGAAGTGGTTTTGCATATGCACCAACCATAACAAGCTTCCCATTAGGCTTTAACATACCAAGCAATGGCAAAAGTGGATGATCTGCTGAAACTGTATCGATAATGCCATCCATTGTGTTCAATGCACCCTGTTATAATAGCCAACATAAAACAAAGATTTAAATTACATGTGGTAAAATCAACCCATTTTTTAGTAATCCGCCCAATTTTAAACCGTTTAGGTCATGACCTATTTGTTGACTTGATCTAACAGGTTAAATTTGAAATGATCCATCAAATTATTAGGTCAAAATGTAACCCGAACCTAAACAAACAAATTTGGAAGAATTTAAGCAAATGATTTGTAAAAAAAATATATTCGCTTTTACAACTTCTTTCAATAAGGAGGTAAGATTGTCTCGTGTTGGACGGATTGAGTATGACAATGACCCGTTATTCACCCATCTTAAGAAAAAGGGTAGTCTGATTCACTAAGCTCCCGCTATGCGTGAGGTCCGAGAAAGAGCGGTACCCAAGAGTTTATTGTATGCAACCTTACCCTGCATTTCTGCAAGAGGCTGTTTCCACAATGTACTAATTAACCAGTTTAGACCTGCCCAAGTTTGACTCGTCCATTTGCCATCTCCAATTTAAAGCAACATACCATATACAATCTCCATTCAACAAATAAAAAACCACTGAATTATACACACCTGAATCTCCTGAGGCTGGCTGCTAAGTACAAACAAATCAGCACCAAGATGTTGAAGAGCTTCATCTTTTTTACCAATAGAGGTACTAATAACTGTGACTTTAGCTCCAAAAGCCTTAGCAAATTTCACAGCCATATGACCAAGACCACCAAGACCAACAACACCAATATGCATTCCAGGCTTATCTAGTCCAAAATATTTCATTGGACTATAAGTTGTGATCCCAGCACACAGTAAAGGAGCTGCTTCCATTGGCAAATTCTCAGGCCAATGAACTACAAAATGTTCATCAGAAACCATGATATCGGAGTAACCTCCATACGTTACTGTTCCATCGGAGTTAGTACCATTAGCAGTCGGTATCTGACCAGGACAGTAATTCTCCATATCATTGTCACAGCTTGCACATTTACGACATGATCCTACCATGTATCCAACTCCTACTTTGTCTCCAACTTTAAAATTCTCAACTTTTGTACCGACTTCAGTCACCACACCCACAATCTCATGCCTATTTCAAATAATTCAAGTAAAGACTTTAGTTCTATACACGGAAAGTATAAAAAAGTATTTTATACAATCAGATTATCTTGGTACATATGAATTGATTAGCGGATAAACATGTAACTAGCTTTAGTATCACAATTACTACATAGTGAAAAAATATTATGTGCATATAGGTTAAATCCTTTACGGAAATAAACAAACGTCAAATATGTTAATGTTTTGTAGTTTCGAACTACTCCCTCTGTTTTCAATTTAGATGACATATTGACAACAGCTTGGCCTCGTTATTGCTCATGACTTGATATAGAGCCGTGTAGTCGTCGGTTTACCACCAAAATGCCTATGAGATTGTGGTCGGCCTTTCGAAAGCTTTCTTCTTAACTTTTCTGAGAAGCCTTTTACAACTATACTGTAAAGGACAGGGGATGTTCACCTTTGGAAACTTAGCTACTTAAGTCCTTCTCAAAAAGTCCTTATCGAAAGTCAATTGGACTAAACTTTGAAGCTAAATTAGATTAGTTTAATTCAATATTTTAAAAATGAAATTTAGCTATTCAAAAACTATATGAAAAGTACTATAAGTTGTAATTTTTCTCATATAAATATGATTAAAAATATATATTTTAAAATGGTGGTCAAACTTCATACATTTTGATCTAAATTGGAACGAAACGTGTCATCTAAATTGGATCGGAGTCACCATTACTTTGACAAGTTGTAGGGGCATGGAGTAGAGTTATTGGCTCTTGTCAGTCCCACCTACATTTGGGGCAGGCACTGAAGGCAAACTTTATTAACCCATTAAAGATTTAAAGGCTGTCTTCACTCCATCACTTCTGAGAATATTAATAAGATTTAGATCTAGTGAAAATTAAACGTACAACCCGAGATCTAAAAATAATACACAAGAAATTTTTATAGAATCATTTTTTTCTATTAAAACTATAGAATTATGCTGAATAATTTCCTTGTATCATTTTTTGGGTTTGAAATATTGTACAAAGATTAATTCTTTCTTATTTTGTATAAGTACCTATAGTAGAAACATAAAATGGACGAGTTTACCCCCTGTGTTAATTTTATTCTTTTTTTTAACCTTACATTATTTTGATTTTCTTTCATTGGATGCATCACATACTTTAATCCTTTTACGACAACTTTTTAAAGTTATATCTTTCAATAACAATGATGAAGAAAATATATTTGTCTCGAAATGCGCAAAAAGGAACAAAATTAAAGGCAAAAGAAAATGAAGAAACACATTACCCAGGTACAACAGGATATCTAGTGACTCCCCATTCATTCTTGATAAAGTGAAGATCTGTATGGCAAATTCCACAATACAAGACTTTGAATTGCACATCTTTCTCCCCAGTAGCCCTGCACCATTCAAAAGATTTTTCACATACATGGAAGTGACTCAGGGGCGGATTTAGGGGGCGCAAGGGGTTCATCCGAACCCCCTTCGCCGAAAACATACACTGTATATATAAGGCAAAATCTGTTTTTTACCTCTATATATTAAGTTTTGAACCCCCT